GACCTCTCAGCCTGCAAGGGGCTCCCCAACTCTCTGCCATGGGAGCACCTGGCTCCAGCAGGAGAGAAACTTCAGCTTTCTCCCTTCCAGTGCAGGTCATGGAGCAGCCAGGGATGGGGCTGGAGCCAGGCTCCCTCTCAGACAGCGCGGGATGATGCAAAGTAAAGTTGCTTGCGCGCGCCACACAGAGCGGGGCCAGAGCAGCTCCGGGGGCCGGTATCCCCAATCCCCCTGCCCTCATACTTACGGTCCCATCTCCCCCACAGCCCAGGACAATCCCTCTGCTCCCTGGGTCAGCTGCACTGAATCCCCTCTCCCCCACCACAGCTTCACCCGGCTGCCCCCGCACCCCCAGGTGTGTTGGGGTCACAGCTACCCCCCTTCTCCTACCTTGCCTGATTGTCCTCCCGGTCGGCTGTGCCTCTTAGTCCCACATTGTCACCCACCGAGGCGTCTGTAACAACTGGGAGTGACATCAGCCAGGAACAATGAAACGCTTGACAGGCGAGGCGCGGGCCAGAGGCTTGGGAATATTCCCCCCCCTTCCCCTTCCCCAATCCCGCCCAGCCTCCATCCCTCCCCCCACGATCCAATTACAGCGGATAAGAGACACTAAAAGGAACAATGCACACTGGGTAAGACCATCTGCCAAGGACAGGGACATTCCATCCCCACCCCCACGGCCCCCGCCCCTCCGCGCTGCTCACATATGCTCACCCTTTGTAATTGCATTCTTTCCTGGAAACCGATCAGCTGGCATGGCCAGCCCAGCGGCCGGCGTCAAGGACACCGCTGGCAGCCTGGGTATGGGGTCGCTGGCACCGGCAGGACTCTCCTTCCCCCTCTCCCCTCCTCATGGCGCTGTGGCTTGGAGCAGGTGGCTGATGCACCAGCAGCCTGTCTACACAAGGGCTCCACGCATGTGGAGCTGTCCTGCTGGGACAAGGCCGATTGTGGATGAGGGGCTGGATGGCACTCTCTACCTCTGGCAGAGAAGTCCACATGGCTCCAAGCTGGGAGTCCCATGAAGGCCATGAGGGGTGGGATATGACTGGAGGTCCCAGACACTACAGCAGTTGGCTGTCGTGGACAGGGTGCCACACAGGAGCATGGAGGGGGAGAGTGGTGGGGGATGTGGAGTGGGGGAGGCAGTGCTGGGATGCCTTGCAGTTCTCCTGCCACCTGCTACTTGCCGGGGTCCTCTGGCCTCCTCACATATGGGCACCAGCAGGCAATGGCCCTGCTTCATCCACTGCTGTCAATGGGTAGGGCGCCCAGTTAAATGACAAGCCAACCAGCGTATGCAGGCCACCGCCATGACCTGTCACCCACACGCTCTGCAGGCTTTCCTTGGGCCTGGCCCCTCAGAGCCAACCCCTGGGCTGCCACACCATGTGGCCATGGTGCAGTCACTCTCAGTCTGCCACAGAGACTCCTCCAGCCCCACTTCATGCCACGGCCACAGGCCCCTGCCTTCCACCCGTCTGGCTCTGGTGCTGCAAGTGGTCACAGCTGGTAGGAGCTCCTCTGACATGGTGGGGAGTTTTCAACCTGCCTGGATGGTCGTGTACTGTGTTGTATCCATGCTACCTGGGGAAGGGCCTTCAGGGGGTTCCCCTGCAAGTAAAGGTGGGGAGACCATGGTGGGGGTTGGGAAACCCTGCCACATGGGTGATGCTTCCTGGAGGGATGTGGCAGGAGTGAGGACTTGTCTTGCTGGGGCCAGACAGTGTCCCAGTGCAGGCCCCCAGAGGGCTATGGTATACCTCAGCTCATAAAACCTGGTGTCCAGGCAGCTCAGCCCATAACACTGGGCAGCTTTCATGCAAGTCATTGCTGTGGCCCAGCCTGCTGACCCTGCGCCCCAGGCAGCAGACTTCAGAACAGGGCTCTGGGGGTGGCTGGACAGATGAGGCTGGGGGAGTCCAGAGTGTCTGTCCTTTTGGATGGCTCGGGGGTTGCTTGTGCATCACAGAAGCCCCCAGAGACCCCAAGCTGCTGCACTGGGTGCTGTATGCTGGTAGAACAGAGATGCCCTGCAGAGCAATGGGAAGCCTGTGCCTTGGGAGGGGAGCAGAGCTCTGTGTGCCCTAGCAGCAGTGGGTGATGCACATGTCCTGGTAGGAGGTACAAAGTGGGATGGAGCAGGGGCAGGGTGTAGAGCGTGCCGGAGGTGAGGACCTGCAGAAAGAGGGGAGACAGGAGAATCTAGAACTCGCAGGGCGGCTGGGGTGGGAGTCTGTAACTTAGAGGGAGTCTAGAGCCTGCAGGCAGGGGCAGGGAGGCAAGAACCTGCAGTCAGGGCTAGGTGTGAATCTAGAACCCGGGAGAGGTGAGGGTGGGGATCTAAAGCCTGCAGGGCGGCAGGGAGTGGAGCTTGTGTAAGCAGCGTACAACAGGGGCGGACTCTCCGGGCCCTTGCTGCAAGCAAGTGACTGCGGTGCAGTGGGAATGTGACACCCCTGGGGGAGCAGTGCAGAGCACAGCTTGGCCAGGCAGTAGGAGTACTGTACGGTGGAACTGCCAGCACAGCCAGTCAGGGCCACAGTGCAGAGTAAGTGCCGTAGGCACAAGAAGTACCTGAGCCAGGGGGCACGCACCCCTGCAGCTCCCAGGTGCAGCCACACTACCATCACCATGTCCTCACCTGGTGCTACCCTGTGCCACACCAAGCCTTTGTGCCAGGTGCTGGGGCTGGCTATGCAACACAAAACCCCACTCCTGCACCCTGATCTAACAGGAAGGGCAGAGACCTGCCACCTCCATCCCCTGGAGGGCACCCATACCTGAACCCGTTTCCCCTTGGCTGGGCTCTGCCCCTGCCCCTGCCATCTCACCACCAGGTCTGGGCTATGCTGCCTCTGCAGCCCAATGCCCTCCCTGCCTAGGAAGTGGGTTTCAGCCCCCACAAGGCCCCAAAACTCCACATCAGCCAGCAACTCAGCCCCCCTCAGGGCCCACACCTCTGTCTGCCTACACACAGACAACCCCATCCAAATGCTGCCAAGCCAGGAGTGTCTCCTCCACTGAACAGGACTGCAGGATGTCTGCCTTCCTGCCTGGATGCAGGGAGCTAGCCAAGCCCAGGGCATGGTCCTGGACAAGAGAGACTCAGCGCCTGTTGCTGCTGCCCCCCAGACTGGGGGGATGTGAGGGGTTCCCACTTCCTGCCATCGTCCCCACTGACAGGAGCTTCAGGTGCCCCTGGGAGGCTGAGACACCACAGCCCTTGGCACTTGCTGCTGGGAGACCCGCTTTGCAGCAAGCCCCAGCTCCCAGCTCCCCCACTGAGCTGCTGGGGGCCCCTGGCAAGGTCCTTCCCACCCCCAGCCTCTGCCCTCCCCCAGGCTTTGGTACCCATGCAGCCCATGGGCTCTGCAGGGCAGAAGCCATCCATTCCCGGGGCCTGTGCAGCACTTCTCAGCTCGGGGCTGCTGGAAGTCCTGGCTGGGTTCTGGGGTCAGCGTGGGTGGGGAAGGGGCCCTGCACAGTATCCATGGGTGGGTGGCCCTGGAGAAGGGGGCACAGGGGTCATGTGGGGACCCCCATGGACATCCTTCCTGGGGAGAATGCAGCAGGCTGGGGTCTGTGACCAGACAGGTCTGACGTGGACACCCCTGCTAGATCTGAGAGAGGCCATCCCAACTCCTCCCCTCACAGCACAGAGATCCCCAAGGGCAGCTGGGTCTTTCCGTCCCCCACCGCCCAGGGACCCTGTAGCCCAGGGCTAGACAGAGCCCTCTGTGGGCCTGTGGCTGTGACGCCCTGGGCAGCCGGCCTCCTGTCAAGCTGCCTTAGCTGGGAGCAAATCCTCCTGCAGACTAAGAGGATAAAGGCAGCGTGTGGGAACCTCCTCCCACCCCCTCAGGCCTGCCGAGAGCACCCCTCCCGCATCAGCCTGCAGCCTCCATCTGCCCTGGCTGGCGGCAGACCTGCGCAGCAGCCATGTGGCTGCCGGCTTTAGCCCGGCCTCCATCTGTTCACCTCAGCCACTAACTCAGTAATCCCCAGGCACTGAGAGTGGCTGTCTGCACAGTGGGAGGAGGGGCTGCCTCTTCCTCTTAACCCCAGCAGACTGGATACTGCTCTGCCTCGCAGGGGCAGGCAAGCCCTGGGGAAGAGATGGCTGTGCTGGAGCGGCCAGGCTCCAGCACAGAGCAACCCAGGCCCCTCTGGGAAGGGGCGAGGCGCTGGGTTGCAATGCTCCTTGAGAGCCCCAGGCCCGTCTCTAGTGCTGGGCTCCCACATGCAGAGCCCTGGGTGTGCAGGGTTTCAGCTCTGCTCAGGAAATACAACCCAGGAGCCCCGGCTCCCAGCCCCTTGCTCTAACCACTACCCCTGCTGCCCTCTACCTAGTGCAGTGTCCTGCTACTGACCAGCTCCCTCCGGCCCCGCTCCCTTGTGCCCTCCCTGTTCCCCCCGCCTCCCCCCAAAAGCCAGCCCCAGACTCTGGTGGCCACAGGCTTTGCAGGGGATTTCAGATGGGGGAAGGAGGGACCACAGGGCATAACCTACCCCAGGGGACGTGGCAGGAAGGAAAGTGGGGGAAGGTAGAGAGGCCCCAAGCACAGTATTGGATTGTGAGCACTCTGGGAGGGAGGTCCATGTGCCCTGCTAGGAACCTGTGAGCCTGCCCTTGCCTTGCATGCCACTACCTGGGGGCAGGGGATAGTGTGGGGGAGGGAGGAAGCACAGGGCAGAGGGAGCTCCTTTTCCCCTGACCTGGCTGAAAAGGGCTCCTCACTTCCCCCCACCCACAGTTCATTCAGCCTGCCCCCTGCCCACAGGCTAGGAGCCAGCCACAAATGGATCCCTGAGCTCCCCAGGGTCACCTGGGTCCCACCGCCCCAGCTTGACTGGCAAGGGCACCAGAGCCACAGCAGTGGGTGCTGGGCCCAAGGACCTCCAGCTAAGGACAGAGGGATGTGGCTGGGGAGCCTGCCTGCCTGGCCCTCACCCCCCATCATCCCCATGCTCTGTCAATCAGCTCCTACAGACAGTCAGCTGCTAATCATTTTAAAGAGAAAGAAGTAGATGGAGCCCCTGGCTCTCAGTAGGGCCCCTGGTTGCCCTTGCCATGCCATGGCCCTCAGCCAGCCCGCAGTGAGACAATGATCAAGTAGGTGCTCTAGTGGCAGAGAGAAACCCAAATTGTGCCCAGAATCCATGCCCCGAAGCCCAGTGATGGAGGGGGTCAGCCACCCCTCACTCCAGACTCCTCAGGAAGTCCAGCAGGCCCTGGTGCCACTCCTCTGGCTTGTCCAGGTAGCAGGCATGGCCTGCCCCTTGCATCAGCTGCACCTTGTGATTGGGCAGGTTCTTCAGGTTGTTCAGGCTTACTTCCCCCAGCTGGGCATCCTTATCCCCATACACGATCAGCGTGGGAGCCTGGTAGAGGATGGATGGGATCAGACACAAGGTATGGACTTGCAGATTGCCAAGGAGTGGGGTGATCCAGGCCCTGGCAGCTTGGTGCGGGGGGACTTTCCCCATCTCCCTTGGTGTTTGGTTGGGTTGAGCTTCTTTGAGGTGCAGTTCCTGGAAATGGGTCACCACTGGACAGAAAATGGGGCTGGGATCCTGCCCCTGCCCAGAGCACTGCTGAGCCCAGCTAGGGGTCAGGACTCGGATGGGGAAGAGAGGCAGAGGCCATGTGCAGCAATGGGTGAACACCACAAGGCCTCCATGGGCAGGGCTCATGCGATCTGCATGTGCCAGCTGCCCTAGTTACCATGCACCAGCCTTGCTGCTAGTGCAGAGGGGCCATATACATGGGTGCAGGTCTGCGGGGCAGTTTTGGCACCAGACTGCCTCTCCCAGTGGGGCAGGCAGAGGAGGGTCCTCCCTGAGCCCAAGGGCCAGAACTGCCCTGAGAGGCTGCTTTGTGCTACCCCATGGATGGCTCGTAGCTAGCCAGCTCCAGGTTAGGAAGGGAGGGGAGGCAAGTGTCTTTATACCCCCCGCCCCTTGCAGCTCAGGACCTAGTCCCCCCATTTGTGGGCTGAAGTAGTACTCTGCGAACAGGGGGAGTGCTGAGCCAGGGTGTCCTTCCTGTGCCATAAACGTGTCCCAACAGCTCTGAGCTACACACAAGGGCTGGGGAGCCCAGCTGCGGAGCTGGTAACCTCAAGCTCCTACATCCACCAGCCCTGAACCCCACCGGATTCAAGACTGCAGACTGCCCCCCCTGGCCTTTGCACCGACATTATTCTGGGGCAACACTTCTGCATTTACAGGAGGGAAGGGCATCTCTCTCAGGCAAGCGGGACAGATCAGAGAGCAGAGGAAGGGAGTGTAGAAAAGGTGCATGAGACATGCAGCTGTTTGCACAGCTCTGCTGTTGATTGCGAGGCACAGTTGTGCAGCACGCAGCTATTGCCTCCACATCCACAATCTAACTCTACCTGGGGGGGTGTATTACAGGGGCCGGGCCAAGGTTACCTTGGGGTATCTGTGCAGATGCAAGGTGGGGGTTAGGGAAGTGCAAACAGGGCAGCTGCAAGGGTTGGGGCGGGTCAGGGGCCCACGTTACAATAACTGCAATGAAACAGGCCAGCAGCAGTCACTTTCCTTCCTGATATGACTATGGCCCCCAGTACAGGGTTGAGCTGCAGGCTGGACCTGTGCAAGGGACCCCCAGAGGCAAGCCGCGTCCCTGCAGGGATGTAAACAGGATTATCGCAGTGCATTATGGCCCTGCAGGACCTCGCTGTGGGCTCCGGTTTCCTTGGGGCTTGTTCAGACGTTCAACAGAGCTGTCCTGTGTCCCTGAACATGAAGAGGGGGGTGGCGCCCTCTGGCGGCCTGTTCCCTTAGCGGATTCTGATCTCGGAGCCTGGCTCTGCCCCTGCCCGACACCTGGGTCCTGTACTCAGCCCCTGCCCCCGCCCTCCCCTCCAAGTGCCATACTTTGATGTTGGCATACTGCGCCGCCGTGAACTTCTCAGTGCAGATGGGTGCCACTGGCACGTAGGCCTTCAGCAGGTCGCTGTGCTGGAAGAGGAAGGGGAGCGAGTACATCCCACTAAGGGATGGGCTGATCACCACCGCTGGGCCCAGATGCAAGGCCTCGAAGACAGACTTCAGGAACCCCCCTGGGGCCAGCTGCCCCGTGGGGGCCGGAGCTGCTGCCTCCTTGGAATTGCCAAGGCCTGAAGCATACAAGAAAGAAGCTGCCATGTTACTGATGTCTCTGTGCAGAGTGGCAGCAGGGTCCCTGTGGTGCTGTGCCTAGCAGGGGCAGGCGGAGGCTGTGCCAGGGCCCTAGAGAGTCACTCCTCTGCTCTGAGTGCAGCAGTTCTGGAGAGGAGGAGTGAAAGCGTCCCCAGTAGGGGACCAGGATGCCAGGCAAGGACCAGGAGTCACGCCTGCATTACAGACTCTGTTCTGCTGCTGATTCACTGCATGTCCCCAGTCAAGACACTTCACTGCTCCTAGCTTCCCCACTCGCTCCTCTGTCACAGAGTGCTGTGAGGCTGGGGGATGTTGGTGATCCTTGCAGGAGGGACTTGGCATGCTCTGCACTGTGGTTTCCACCCCACCCACAAGGCTCTGCTCATCACCTCAGGCCCTAGTGATGCCCAGGCACCAGATGGCTTCTCTCCCCAGGCCCATGCACAGCAGTGTCACCTCCCTGAGGGCAACATACCTGGCAGGTCAATGGCCACAGCACGGTACCCAGCTCCTGCCAACTTTGCCAGCGTCTGCAGGTTGAGCCAGGTTTCAGAAGAGAAGCGAATGCCGTGCAGCAGCAAGACAGCCAGTTTTGGGGCCTGCTGGCCTGGTACAGCCTGCCGGTAGAATAGGGTCTGCCCATCCACTGTGATGGTGCTCTCGGTCAGCTGTGGGTCTGCCATGGTGGGTGCCCTGCAAGGAGAGGAGAGCTGGGGAGGGAGGAAACCCCAGAGGCACCCTGCATGGCCCTGGGAGAAAGGGCAGTTGGACCAGATTCCTCAGCCTGTGGAAGGGCCTCTGGGGGCAGCGCCTGCCAGGATAACCACGAACTGGATTTCTGTGTCCTTTGGAACAGACTCCAGCTGATCAAGGAACAAAGTGCTGTTAACTTCCTCACGTTCTCTGCTCCTTTCTCTGGCTAGGAGAGAGGCCTCTTCGTACTGCCACCTTCCTTAACTCTCACTTGTATAATGAGCTAAACAGAAGGAATCAGCCCGGTATTTCTTTGGGGATGTCTCTGCTTCCTCCCAGCCTCAGAGCGTGTCCAACATCTCCTGCAATTACACAGCCGGTGCCATGAAGGGTCCCACAGAACAAGTCCTGCTCCTCACCCCCCTCCCTGGCTATAACAGTATTAAAGAGGGGAGACCCCAGCTGCCTTGGTGCACTGAGGACTGCTGTCTTCCCCTGGCAGGGGCCACAGGGGACAGCAGGCATGGTGGGGTGCTCTGTTTGTTGGGGATGGGGTGGAGGGGGGATTGCATAGGGAGGTAAATATGGGAAAGGCAGAGGCCCAGTCCAGGGTGCATGGGCAGGGGCCACAGCTGGGCTGGAGACACTGAGGTAGAGGAGACTGGAGAAAGGAACACAAACTCCTGGAGAGGCCAGGGGAGGAGGGAGTGCCCTGGCACCAGGTGCTCAGCCAAAGGCACTGCCTTAATCCTGGCAAAGGCCACAGGGCATAATTCACAGGGGATCCATTGCCACTGGATCCTGTCGGGGCTGACAGCCTGCCAGGCTGCCCTGCAGGGTGTCATGTGTGGCTGGCCAGGGGTCCCTGCTAATGCTGGGCACAGGCCCCTTCTGGGCGTGAGTGGGGCAGGCTGTCCCAGGAAGCAGCTGAATCTGGCCGGTCTCCAGGGCGCTGGGCTGGGTGGCCCTGCTAGTCAGAACCAGTCTGGCAGCTTCTCCATTCAGGTCAAGCTAAGCAGCTCCAGCAAAGTCCCTGAGCTTGGGGGTGCATGTGGGTGGGATCAGGCAGGCAGGCAGCCCATCCTGCAGGGACCCCCAGCACAGGCCCCGGGGGCTGGCAAGAAAAGCAGCCAGGGACTGATACCTGAGAGAAGGGATCCCAACGGTCCCAGTGTTCGCTGTGCTGTGGTGCTGATTGCAGGCCCACACTTCCTGGGTCCAAAGCTACCAAAGGAAGCCAGGGGGAAAACCAGGGGTGGAGACGGAGGAACTGGAACAGCAGGCAGGAGGGTGTCGGCTCATGGTGCAGTGACACCTAGCGGTAAGAACCTGGACCGTTTGGGCACAAGGCCTGGACAGAGGGCAGGTTAGCAGGCTCCTGGCTACATTTGCACTGTGATCCCAAGGTGTGATCCCAGCACATGTGGGCAGGCCAGGGCCTGCTTCGATTCAGCTCACTTGGGCACCAACAACAATGAAGACACAGTAGCAGGGGCTTCAACTGCACAACTAAGTACCAAAGGAAGGCAGTAGCAGACAGCTACAGCCCATACTCTTCCCTGTGCTACTCTGTTCCCTGGATCTCTGTCCCCTAGGTGAAAGCTAGTGTGAGGATGCATACCTGCGCTGTAGTCACACCCCTTCCTGCTATGGGGATGTGCCCTGAAAGCAATATGCACTAGGGATTAAACTGGGATGAGTCCCCCTAAAACCAGCCCCAGCTCAGCCCCATGCAGCTCTGTCTGCGTCAAGCCCCTCGCTAGACCCAGGACACTGGAAGACCAGAAGAGGTTGAACAAAAACATTGAATCTGTGTGATACAGGCCTTTTCATTCATGTGATGCTGCAGGTCCTTGGCTGTCACTTGGGCTGTTTGGAGACACAGCTTACATGCTTGCCAAGTTCAAGGGCCCATCCACTCTGCCTGCCTCCCAAAAGAGTTGGCAGGTGCCATGTTTCTACCTCTCACAATTGCACCATGATATTCTGTGTTGCTCTTACAGATCTGGTTCCTGGAATAGTTTCATAGTTGGTCAGGTCGGAAGGGACCTGAGCAGATCAAGTCAGGCCCCCTGCCATGGCAGGAAAGAGTACTGGGGTCAAATGACCCCAGC